AATGAGTTAGTTATAGGAATATGCTGAGTAGAAGGGGTAGGTATAATAACATTAAGGTTCAGACAACATCTTTTTAGTCTATATTTGTTATTTTTTAATGCCTTGATGTTATTTATTCTTTATTATGAGCATTCCTTTTGGGAATTTGTTAACAAGGACCAAAATAAATTACCACTAACTAACTAAATTTGGATTAAAACTGTCAAGTTATCACAAAATATATATTTGAATATCAGAGCCAGTGTTTTTCTTAATATTGTTATAATAATATGGACCATATTGCCCAGCCCTAATGGGTTCATTCTGCATGCTGTATGCATTGTCTTCTGCAGCCCCTGAATAAACAAGGAGCGAAGCGGAGCAGACAAAAGCTCACTGTTTGGAAGGCTTTGAAAAGGTCAATTAATATCAATGCCTAGACAACAACAAAGTTTCTGTCTGCGTGTAATACAGGTGGCTACGCTCCCAGCATCAAAGTCTCCTCTCCAGCTGACTGGTGCAACAAAGCTAATGGAGAGTGTACACAGAGATTCTGACAAAAACCCACGGACAGGCACGACACGTAACACGAGGGAGGGAAGCAAGAGAGCGGAGTAGTTAAGGGTAATGCCGCTGCGAGAATCTGGAAATAAGACTTCAATGAGGCCTTTGACGTGGAACCAGAGCTGCTCCACTGGGAGCGCACGTCATCCGGCATATTCAAGTCTGGATGGATCTTACAGTGCTATCTGCTTGGAAGAAGCAGGAAACCGTTGAGGCCCATGGTTGAACCCTGTGAAAAGCTATTTAAGGGAGAACATGCCATCACTGATTTCATAAGCTACTGCTCCTAACAGATGAATACCTGTGGGGCCGAGCATCTCTTGGCTCATGGAGGAGCGTATTTGATCTGCTTCCCAGAGACGGCGACAGACAGTGAAATCTGCCAGTTGAATTACTCTGCTTCCACATAATGACTTTTCCCTGTCAAAGTAGAGCAAATATGTAGATCCCTGGTCCTCTCATGAAGGTGGGGTGCCTTGCATACTCCTCTGTCAGGCAGGAGAAGGAAGGTGAAAAGACAGGAGGAGGGTAAAATGTTAAGTCCTGAAGAGAGGAACCCATGTGTAAAAATGACTGATTAAAAATAATTAGGGAGGTGGAAATGGTCTGGAACGATAACCAGCAAACGCACGGCGCCCCCAGGGAAAATTCCCCATCTGTGTGTGAGCAGGAAGACCTCCCTCGGATTCACCACGACAGTGCGATTTTCCAGTTTACACAGGCCACGCAGCGGAAATACAGAAAAACCTAAACAGGCATTTGGAGTGTACATGATTAAATCCCAAACAAGCAATAGCCCTCGGAAAATGTGTCAGGATGAATCGATGTATCATTAAATTACACTCTGCCTGTACGCGTGAGTGGCTGCTTTAACTGCAAATCCTACTGTGTATAATTATAGACATATGAAAGGTCTGTGGACTACAAAACACTGCCTATATGTGCAGATGGGCTTGTTTTAAGTAATGCTCGGGAGTAGCAGATGCAGCAGCCACTCTATTGTCTAGAAAACAGTCTTGTTAAATAAGTCCATCCGCCTGGCCACCTGGTGCCTTTCATACCAGACACCAAAAAATCACACTAATATTAGAATAATAAACCATTTGGATTATTAATATGCCTGTGATAGAGCTCCTCAGAAGTGTTAAGCATTGCATTATCATAATCTTTGCTGTGGCATCTTTGAAGGATCACTAACAGGAGTCACAGCTTCCTCTCTGCTTCACAAATCCATAGGATGCAGGTGCTCTATTTATTTCTCACGAGGGGTTTTGTTCTGTAATGTTATTATCTTTATTCTTGCCTGTTTTCCAGACTTAAAAAAATGCACTTAACACCACTCTTTACACCTGGAGAGTGCTTTAAAGGGCCATCAGAAAAAGCACTTTAAATGAGAGTGGATGAGGAACAAAGGCTTTGCCAGTGTGCCCCGGTCCCTCATGCTGCCCAGCCAACAATAAGGAGGGGGTGAAGGGGGACGCGCTCACTGTTGCCAACCAGCCTGCTCTGCACAAACCCCGCGGTCTGATTCTCACCTAAAGTCTCAAGTGATGCTGAGATGATAGAAATAAATTTTAAAAAAAACGCACAGAAAGACTCCCGGCCCCGGAGACAGGCTAAACGGTGAAATTTCACCCCGGCGGGCAGATACACTTACCTCATTAGTTTCCAAAAGGCTATTCGACAAGTGAGAATAACCCGGCTGGGTGGGGTGCACGGCTGCAAACATTAAACAGTGTATAAAGCATGGAGGATGCTGGTTACCTTGGTAGGAAGTGCTCCGTCTTCTTTACTGTCTGGTAGATTCATGTGGGTGGATTTGCAGCTGGAAGCTTCCTCGGAAACAGCAAGGATAAATGTAATCCAGTGGCAGCGGAGCTCCACTCACAGAAAGGTCTGCCTTTGTGGGGGATGCATGCACACATCGCCGGTGTTTCCCCCCCTCCACCTCCGACAGCACCACCAACACCTCCAGCAGCACCGACACCAACACCGTCCTGACTGTCGACCGACCTCTCGGGAACGCAGCGGGTCACGGCTGCTCCTCAGCCCTTTTGTCGGGAGAGCATTGCCGGTCGAGCGGCCTCAGATACTGCTGGTTGATGTCATTGATACTCCCTGCCTTCTTCCTTAATGCCCTCCTCCTTCCCTCTCCTCTCCTCCCCCTCCCCGCTCTATCTATCTCTCCCTCTCTCTCTCCTCTCAAACACACACACACCGGAGCTCTCCCCCTCCCCCCTCCTCCCCCCCAACACATGACGTGATGCAGGCAAGATCTCCAATAGCAACCGTATCCCCCATCACCCCTATTACCCCCGTTTCCACCCCACACCTCCTCCAGCTCTGGCTGGATCGCTGACTGGTGCAAAAGAAGTGGCTGCTGAGGCAGGTCGGCCCTGTGTATTGGTGACTGTTTTTTTTTTCTTTCCACTGGGCTCCCCAGGGGCTAAAATGAAGATAAGCACCTTGAAACCTCGTAGATTCCCATAATACAGTGTCTAATTATAGCTGTTGGCAGGAAGTCAGAGTCAGAGCTCCCTATCAGCTCCTACAGAGCAGAACTCTCTCACTAAATTACAACTGGACACTTTAAAATATTGGAGGGTAAACACCACTCACTGTGGGACAATATGGGGACATATTAATAACACCATAGGAGGTAGATAATACAGTGGTATAGGATAGGATAGGTCAACTTATTATAGAGGACAATAGATGCATTAGGTTAATAACGTCACTGTTATTTGTTGTGCTCAGTTGTCACTTTATAGGTTCAACCTGTATCTCCTTGTGGTTGTGTCTTTTTCGTAGTCATTTGTGTCTCTTTGTAGTCTTTTGTGTCTCTTAGTTGTTGTTTTGTGTCTTTTTTGTAGTCATTTGTGTCTCTTTGTAGTCTTTTGTGTCTCTTAGTTGTTGTTTTGTGTCTTTTTGGTAGTCATTTGTGTCTCCTTGTGGTTGTTTTGTGCCTTTTTCATTGTCATTTGTGTCTCTTTGTGGTTGTCTTGTGTCTTTTTCGTAGTCATTTGTGTCTCTTTGTTGTTGTTTTGTGTCTTTTTTGTAGTCCTTTGTATCTCTTTGTAGTCTTTTATGTCTCTTTGTGGTTGTTTTGTTTCTTTTTGTAGACTTTTGTAGTCATTTGCGTCTCCTTGTGGTTGTTTTGTGTCTTTTTTGTAGTCATTAGTGTGTCATTGTGGTTGTTTTGTGTCTTTTTTGTAGTCTTTTGTAGTCATTTGTGTCTCCTTGTGGTTGTTTTGTGTCTTTTTCGTAGTCATTTGTCTCTTTGTTGTTGTTTTGTGTCTTTTTTGTAGTCATTTGTATCTCTTTGTAGTCTTTTATGTCTCTTTGTAATTGTTTTGTTTCTTTTTGTAGACTTTTGTAGTCATTTGTGTCTCTTTGTGGTTGTTTTGTGTCTTTTTTGTAGTCTTTTGTAGTCATTTGTGTCTTCTTGTGGGTTGTTCTGTGTATTTTTTGACATAATTTGTGTCTCTGTAGTCTTTTGTGTCTCCTTGTGGTTGTTTTTTTTGTAGTCTTTTGTAGTCGTTTGTGTCTCTTTGTGGTTGTTTTTTTTTTGTAGTCCTTTGTGTCTTCTTGTGGTTGTTTTGTGTCTTTTTTGACATCATTTGTGTCTCTTTGGTTGTCTGTATCTCTTGTTGTCATTTGTGTCTCATTTTGGTTGTATTGTGTCTCTTTGTTGTCATTTGTGTCTCCTTGTGGTTGTTTTGTGTCCTGTTTGTAGTCATTTGTGTGGTTGTTTTCCCCATTTTTGTAGTTATTTTGTGTCTTTCTGCAGCTCCTCTGCATTTCTTTGTAGTCTTTTTGTGTCTCTTTTTGGCCATTTTTTATTTATTTAATTGCAAACAGACAACCAATTACCAGAAAAAAAAAATACTATATATATTTATATATACTTGCTGATATAAAATGTATTGTGGGTTTACAACAGTTTAAACAGCATGACTCAGGACCTTCTTTCCTCATTATCCTTTTTTAAACAGTGTGTACCCTGTAAAGTTTTCTTTAACTATTTTATATTGTGGAAAATGGGATGTGTAACCAAAGTTTACATTATCAAACTGGGAGACATTCCACATTATTTCTACGTTGGTTAGGAGACCAGGCACTCATTAAGGGATCTATCAATTTGTCAGTTCCAAAAAATGGTTAAAACAAATGCAATCTAATTAGCAATTAGTCCTACTTTCATAAAGTTTCTTAAAGTATCATTTTGTTAAATTATACTGTGTTATACTTGGAGGTGTTATGTTATGCACCCCATTCATATAAATGAGTGTTGACTCAGCAATATTAATCCTAATTAAGGTCAAGGAAGCACATTGCTCAAAATGCACTTCAGTCTTAGGCAGGTCATACTCAATTTACGGCCCACAACAGGGTGACAGATGGCCCACCAACCATTCTCTAATTCACCATGAAAATATATTGATTCACACTGGGATTTCTGTTTACTTTGAATGTAATGATGCATTTTTAAAAAGCATCAAAACAGACCTTTTTTATTATTATAAATAATAAAACAAGCCCCAAATGTCCTCAAATCCTAGAAACACTGCTGCATACAGCAAACGTCAAAAGGTTAAAAACAGGCAATTCATTTATTATATATTATTGTTTGTCATTTTGCAAACATGGCCCCAGGACTGTGGAGCAAAATGGTTTAAAAATACAAAGAATATTTTTTGGAGTTTGTCCCTTAATTATCTCTAATTGCCATGCGATCGCTAGTCAGGCCACAATTACAATGTTTGTTCTTTTGTCACATTATACCTCGGCAAAACCCCTAATGAACCAAAACTTTCTGGCAGCTAGGTAGAAAACATCACATGAAAATGGCTGCAGGCAAACCCTCCAACAAGGAATGACCAGCCTGTAATTGCCAAGAGACTAATTTTATGGAGCAACTGACCTTTGCTTGATAATATGAACAATAAAATACTGTGGAAATGCATCATAGCTGCCCAGAGTAACCCGTTATACCCTGCATGCCACTGAAAGATGCTGGTCTGCTATAATTATCATGGTAACCCACTCATTTTGCTTGAGAATATTAATAAAAATGAAATTAAAAAAAGAAATCAGTCAAAATGAAAAGAAAGCCATTTGTTTAAATTCTCAAAGATGCCACACAGATGAACACAGGCTTTTGTTCTTTAAGATTTGGTCTTATTTAGGTCACACAACGTGACAGAAACAAACGCCACAAGGCCAAAATCTGAGGTGTTGGGAGCGTGGTGTTGGAGGTTAGCGTGACGCTTCAGGACTGTGTGAAGGAGGCTTTATTCTAACCTCTCTGCTGATCCCCGAGCAGCGCTCTGCAAACAGAGTCAGCAACTCTGCCTGCCCAGGTTTCTGTTCATCCAGATAGATTACAAATGCATAATAAGCCCCTGCCTAATAGCTCGATAAAAGTCGCTCACAACAACTCATTCTCTCTTTCTGGCTCTCTGACACAAAGGCCGCTTGACAAAGTACGAGAAGGAGACGGGGAAATGAACCAATCACTTGTGAGGGTAATTGGAAGCTACAGTTTTTGAGTCCATCACATGGTCTTCAAGGGACAAAGGCTGCCCCCTCGCATTGATTTTCTTTGTCGCTACTGACATCTAGTGGGCAATTACTATTACATGATGTAGCATTTACTGGACATTGGGAGCAAAAGGTTCATAAATACAGGACCAGGTGTGACAGTGTTTCTCTGGGGAGTTTCTTTTGTTGGCAGGAGAAATGCTCCCAAAAATAATTTTAACTTTATGACACAGAGAGAAAGGCTCCTGCACACTGCCTCACTTATGGCTCAATTTTAAACATTTTAAGGTGACGTTTTGGGCCTTCAGACTCAGGCAGGGTAGGACCAACTCGTTACCTTAATCAAATCAAATAAATTAGCAATAAGCAAGACAGTGTGCAGAAGCTCTCCCCTTCGACTTCAAGACTGCACCTCCTATGATGCACCTGTCACACACTCAGGTGCAGAGAGATTTTTCAAAATAACTTTTGGACACTAAAAATGAGCACTGAAATTACACTTCTTTTTGTCTATATGCAGGACAGGAGACGATTTTTCTCGGTTTGTCCCAAACATTAACAACAGGGTTTCTATAGTTTAAGGAAAGATAGATTTAAGACTTTAAAATACCCCCAAATTAAATTTAAGACCAATTTTACAATGACCAAAATTGAATTAAAAAATAAATAAATAAAAATACCAACATAAGAACCAACATAGACAAGGGGAAATTTTTTGCCATAATATTTACTGTAACATGAAACCTTACTTTTTGGTCCACTTAATATTTTTATTATTTACTTCATTTATTATTTATTTTACTCATATGTATTTCCTCGTATTGGTTTCAGCCATGCCATGAAATCTGGTTAAATTGCCAATTTTTATGAATTTTCACTTCCCTTATGTCTTCTAGGGTACAGTGTCAGCTAGCTATCAGACAGTGGATCCTCTGCAGTGAGGATGTGACCTGATGTGGTGACGCTAAGGTGAGAGCCATTAAGTAAATTATTAAATTATAAAAAAAAAAAAAGTGACCAATTTTTAAAAATATTTTACATTACACTAACATAAAAAAAATAAAAATACAATTACCATAAAAATGAAGACTTTTGAAAAATTTTTTTGAGACATTTAACACCAGTTAAGGCCTTATTATTATATTTTTAAATAATTCAATCCAATGCTTTTTAAGGCTTTTTAAGTATCCCCAAGAACCCTTAACAGTTGTAGCCTTCTGTGACATCTTGACATTAGGGTCCTGCTTCCAACATCTTAATTTACGTCTGCACGTAATGATTACCGCAATCACTGGCACCCTTTCCAGAAAGGTCAGACATCAGGTCAGCTATAAGAGACCTCTTGGATGTCTGATTTTATTCAGCAGGGCAGATACGTGCTGTCACAGAGACTGAACCCCTGTTTACCAGCTGCTGTTTCTTAACTCACTATTAACTCATACACTTGCCCCATGTACAGTAACAACAGCACATTATTAATATTTTAGATGATTTTTCTAGAAATCCTCATCTTTAAAATATTTGTTTCTTATATTGTTTGTGTTTCCTGTCAGAATAATGCAGCCTCTGTTGTCTGTGTACTGTCACTGCCAGTCACTCTGTGACCTGACTGACTGTATAGCGTTACAGTATTCCCATTTCTAGAGTTTAAGCTAGGGCAAAAGATCCCTAAAATTAGCAGGGTAAGTGCCCTGTCTCTACCGCTGCCCTGCAGCAGTGACGTTAATTGCGCTCTATTTATACTTTAAGAGTGCAGGACTCCGAAAGATCAAGTTTCTGTTATGCTTTATTTCTGTGCCCTCGAGTTTATGTGAGCAGAGCGGTGGAAAGCCCACGTTTGGTGCAAAGAGCTGAAATAAGAGAGGCACTGATTCTTTTTTAATATTCCGCTAATGTAACACTTTGTATGCACTCCAAGCAACGTGTCTTCCACTTTCTAAACAAGCTCATTTTATGGGCTTTGCTGCACTGATGGGGCGTTTGGGTCTTTTATGTTCTGCTACTGCAACCATTTCAATCCATCTAAATGTGTATAATGATGCTCTTAATGCAAATGCTGCCATTGTAAGCAACAGCACTCAGGCTAAAGAACTCGTGACAGAGCCGAGGCACAGAAAGAGAGATTCATTTTCAATTTGCAGATACTACTTAGCGCTTAGTTCCGAAATCAGAAACAATTCAAGGTACCGCATGCAGAAAAGACACAGTAACACTGAGATCACCCACACACACGCAAGCACACACAGATAGTGTTGCGATACTGAATTTTATTCAAGTATCTCCAACGTCCTTTTGCTCTCGAGTTATCATCAGTTAAACGAATCAGTTGAGAAAAAGAAAGGCAGCCATAGTTCATAGCCTGAATGTTAAGTCGTCTATTTAGGATTTTAGAGCCTCTCGGTGTGCATTCAACTCGGTGGTGCTTAGCACGGACAGGACAGATAAAACATTCATGATAACACAAGATAAACAAAAGAGAAACTATTTAAAAATAAGACTAAGATGCAGGAATGGCCGGTTCCATTTCTGTGAACTGCATCTGAGGTTAAAGGGAAAATTCAATTCAGAACAGAACTGACAAGTGATCTTGGACAGTTGGCTTTTCCTCGTAGACAGAAACCAGAGGGTTTAATCACAAAATGCTCCGGCTCTGATGCTGCTTCTTTGTTAATGAATCAGATATCTTTGTTGATGTTGACATTACCCAGAAGTAACAGGGTGTAGGCACACTTTAGGCTCTTGCTTGAGATTGTTCATTCAGACATAGGCAGACAGTTTTAGAAAACATTCGTGAATTCAGAAGATTCATAGTCAAAGAGGCAGCCTCAGGTTAGAGTCATTATCCTGTTAAGATAGGCCTGTAAAATCTGTCTATGTAGTGGATTTTGGCTTGAAAAGGTTGCCTCTGATTGGAGAATCCCAAACTGCATAGGTAATAAAAGTCTGTGTGGAGACTGGGGAGTGTTAGCTCAACAGTGTAACCAGCTGTTCTCACTGAGGACACCGCTCATCCTCAACATCCTGATCTCCTTCATGCACATCTCCACTTTAGGTTATCACTTCTGCTTATAATTAGGAGGATAAGTTAGTCGCTTTTTATTTTGCCACCAGTTTATAGTCTGTAACAGAACATGGCTCTGAGGCTGACATTTGGCACAGTAAATTCAAAACACCCTCCCGGATCAAAGAAACATAGCAGATGGTAATATGTGAACAGGCGAAACCAGCTAAAAATTGCCAGCGAGCAAGTTTGAGTGGTTGAGCTTGTTCAAACACTACCGGTCTGAATGAACTTGCAAAACAACAAGTGAGCTACCGTATTCACTCTTCATCTTCATGCATGGCTAGTTTGATCAGATGCTTTCCTGTCAGTAATACTAAAACCCATTGTTCATACAGTGCAGCCACCACCAAACACACACAAGCACCCTCATACTGTAAGTCTCCTTTTCACTGGGACAAAAACAGGGAAGATGCATTAAAGCCTATGTCAAGATGAAGTTTTATCCAGCTTTAAATAGCAGTACAATCACGTTGAGAGTCTGTGTGATGTAACGTTAGAATCAAGCGATAACTGACCAGATCTCAGCCAGAGATTAAGCCCACAGGCTGATGTGTATTGCTATGGTTTGGTCTGACACAAGGTTGGAAGGGCCAGGAGCGAAGCAGAGGTCAAAAGGAGACAAGAGATGAGCAGAATGGTGTGGAGGGGGACTTTTTTGGCGGGTCATAGTAAGGTATGGGGGACAACAGGAAGAGTAGTGCAGGTGTGTCTCATCAGGGGACAGTAGTGGAAGTCAGTGCAGCTCAATGAAAGCCTCCATCTCCTCAGAGATGAGTCCCCTGTAGGGCAGTCTGTGCTTCTCAATTGCACGCGCCGCCAGGCACTGAAGGGTGACGTAGTTCAGTGGGTAGAGGGCCGGGTGCCCGCTGCTCTGCTCATCCAGCAGCTCGTAGGCCGTCTTCCTCTGTGCATTTGTAGCGTCAAAGTGAGCCCCCGCCTTCATAAGTAGTGCCATAATCTCTGGACAACCGTTATTAGCAGCGATGTGCAGAGGCGTGTTGTTTTCACTGTCGCGTGAATCTACGTCTGCGCCACACTCTAGGAGCAGGGCAGCCACCGCCTGGGAGGGGAAGCGGCCCACAGGGTAGCGGCCCACAGATGTGGTCTCCTTGTCTACAGCCATGTGGAGAGGAGTGAAGCCGTTACGGCCCCGGGGGTTCAGCTTGAGCAGGCGGTACACTGTGTGTTTCTTCTGGTGCTCCTGCTCGGGGCTGCACTCCAGCTTCTCCAGGAGGAAGATGAGGTGCAGGATGATGGAGAGAGCTTTGGTGAACTGGGGAGCCTCTGGAGGGTTGTCCCTCTGTGCCACAGCTCTCTCTACCTCCCTCACACTCTTCCCAAGAACAGTCATAAGGTCATGGAAGGTGACGCGTGTTGACAGGGTGCCTTTGGCCCGGTCTTGAAGAACAAAAGAGAAAAGCTCTGCAAAGGACAAGAAACTGGAGGCTGTCATGGGACTGAGAGGGTCCAGGTTGCTCTGCTGCATGTCTAAAGCGTATTTCCACAGGCTGATGCAGCGCTCAAAGTTGCCTGAGTCTGCATACACAGCTCCCCTGTAGCGGATGTAATAAGAGGTGTCTGGGTGCGATGGCCCCAGGATGCGCTCTCGCACCAACAAGGCCTGCATCCTCATTTCATCAGGGTCTGTGATCAGAGCCTCCAGCTCCTCTGCAGTGCTCACCTCCTGGGCACAGCCGTAAGCAGGGATAGGAGGGCCAGGTGGAGGCTTGGCCAGGGACCCAGCTTTGTCCCCTGGCTGCCTCAGCTCCATGGCCCTTCTCCAGTACCTCATTGCCCCCAGGAGATCCCGCTTTTTGTCCACAAAAGTAGCCCCAAGGAGTTCTAGTGCATCGATGCGTTCCTCTCTGGAGGTTCGAGGCTGGTGGGCGAGATACTCCACGATGTTGGTGTGACCTGTGACACTGGCAGCGAGGAGAGGGGTCATCCCGTATCCATCTCTCTCCATGCGAGCATTGCACTTTAATAGCATCTTCATGATGTCCAGACTCCCTGACTCAGCACAGTCGTGCAGGGCGGTGTTGCCCTTCACACTCTTGCGGTTCACATCAGCACCACGGTCCAGGAGGAACTTGGCGATCTCTTTGTGGCCCTTGTAACAGGAGATCATGAGGCAGGTGTGGCCGTGGCGGTTGGCTACCTCCATGTCGGCTCTGTGCTCCACCAGGTACCGGACGATCTCCAGGTGACCGTCGAAGCAGGCAGCTCGGAGCGGCGTTGAGTTAGTTAGTGTTGCGTTGTTGACTGAGGCACCGTGTTTCAGTAGCGTCTTCACCACAGGGAGGTGGCCTGCTGCCGAAGCTGCCCACAGCGGCGGAGCCCCCTCGATGGTCTCGCCGTCAAAGTTAACCGCCCCCCCGAGTTCAACATTCGCTTTACAATGTTCAAGGAGGTAGTCCACAACCTCTAGGTGTCCATACCGAGAGGCTATCAACAGCGGGGTGCCTCCCTGCGTCTTCTCCTCGGCTAAAGCCTCCAGCTCCTCTGGAGTTTTGTTGCTCAGCAACTTCTGGATAAGTTTCAGCTTACCATCTCTGGCCGCGTTGAAAACCGCCGTCGGTATATCCATTTTACAGGCTCTGTGCTGCCGCGTGGGGCACCAACCCCATAACCACCCGTTTACGGAAAAACTGTCGAGTCAGTTGTTAAACGGCCGAGAACAGGAATCTTAGTTTGGACTCGGTTTCTAGCTCGCATCTTACTGCCATTTTGAGGGTGCTGTCAAGATGGCGATTGTGTTGTTTGACAGGTCTATGTTTACGACTGCGGCGAGGCATTGTGGGTGACGTAGTTTTGATGGAATTCTTTCCTCCGTGAGCGGAAGGCGTTTCTCTTTAAACAGAACTACATTTCCCATGATGCCTGGGAGTTGAAGAAGCTACCAGCTGATGGGTTCGTTTGGTATGTGAGTTCGGACCAACAGTATGCACCACCTTAGATAGACAGAGATAGAGCCAGCTGGTACCGGTTTACAAACCAAACACACCCTTTAAAAGTATTCACTTTAAGAGGTAAGTTGATCCCCATCACTGTTGATACATTCAAACCGTGGTTGTAAAAAGGATAATTCACACCCATTCAAGTGATATTTACTTAATCCTACAATAATGTGTGCTTATTTAAAAATCAACAAATATATTTTTTATCAACTCTTGAGTTGTGCTTTATCCCAAACTCTCATTATTATAGTTATGACAACAGTAGAAAAACCGGATGGGGTCAGTTGAGGTGGTTCAAGCATCTGATCAGGGTGCCTCCAGGGCATAGAGGTGTTACAGGCAGAACCCACTGGTCGGAGGCACTAGGGTAGACCTGGACACACTGGAGGGGATTATTTGTCTCATCTGTCCAGGGAACACCTTGGGGTCACCCAGGAGGGGCTGGGAAGTGTTGCTGAGGAGAGGGACAGTCTGGAGTGCTTTGCTTGGCCTGCTGCCCCTGTGACCTGGAAAAATGGATGGATGGATGGATGGATGACCAAATTTTGTTAAAGTTAAAGGGGAACTGTGCCCATTTTCTAAATGTATACATGTTATTCCTATGTTCTGAGACAGTCCAAAAAAATACTAGGAGACGTTGACAGCTGTCTCCTAAATCTAATGTTGTGTTCCCACCAAATGTGATGCGAATTTTCTTGTCACGTTACTCACGCAAGTTTGAATGCTTGAATATTTTGTGTTGACTCACTTCATATGCGCTCATGACCTTGGCGTCATATGTCACCAAAGGATCTCAATGCTGATTGGCTATCGCAACGCAAATTGGTTGCTAAAGTTCAGATTTTTCATCTTACTTTATTAGTGCTGCTAATGCCACCCGGTGCACAAATTGTTTTATTCGCGCCTGGTGTAAACACAACATTATTCCTTTGTTCTAGGACAGTTCAAAAAATATTAGTAGACATGAACAACTCTTTCTTAAATCTAATGTTGTGTTCACACCAAACTCGTGCGAGTTTGAATGCTAGAATATTTTGTGGAGACCTGCTTCATGTGTGCGTGAAATCGCTGACTGAACTTCCGCTAGTACATCCTCGGCGTCATATGTCACTGGAGGATCTCAGTGCTGATTGGCTATAGCAGCCCAAATTGGTCGCTGAAGTTCAGATTTTTAACTCTCCCTAATAAGCGTATGACGCCAAATTGCACTTCTTGCGTCATTTGCGTTGCCTCCATAGCGTTCATTGTGCCACCCAGCAGGAATTTGCATCTAATCACGTCTTTACATTAACTTTACATGTAATTCACTCACGCAAAGTGTTTTATTTGTGCCTGGTGTGAACACAATATCAAAGCCAGAGTGCTAAAACTCAAATTTGTGATGTCTCAGGGTAGGGTGGGATAGCTCTGCAGGCAATGAATTGGAAAATATGTTATAGATGACACTGAGAGCATGCAGGGGGAATGTGCTGAGTATATGGGTACATTTTTTGTTTCAGAACTGAGAACACTACAATAAAATAAAGCTCATTTGGGTATAAAAAAAGAAAACAAACTTTATGTGGGTCCACAAAATAAGTCTCCCGTTCACTGGAGCAGCCCCAGACATATACGCCTATGACATCACAAGTTTGAGGTTTCTGGCTTTGAGAGAGAGCAGCTCATGTTCACAAATACTGACTGAACCTCTCTAGGCCATAGACATAACATATTGGAGTTCTTAATTTAGGTGGTGTTCCCCTTTAAGTAATGGTATAGGTGTCATTGCAACATATATTAATATTCACACAAAACTAAGATGTTACTTCCAGTGATACTCCTCCGTGAAGGCAAAGTAAGAAACTGATTTTACAGTTTACCATTTACTCACAAATTACCAGAGAAGTTTGCATTTGTAACACATTTTTTAAAGTCAGACAAAAAGCAATCAACAAACGCTGTACCTGCTATCATTGCAGATCATTACTTTCACTCTTGAGTCTAAGTTATGCAGAAAGCTATAATAACCAGCACAGTCAGATGACACTGAGGCCCTGTGCACAAACATCATACGCTACTAACAGCATCAGGCCTCTGCAGTCATGTCACATTAATAGGTAGTGAATAAGCAGGTGGCTCACCCACACTCTTAAAGCAGCACTGGTAACATTGTTTGGTAGCTTTTTCACTGTTCTGTAAATGTAGGGAAGACAACACAGCATTTAGGTGATTTTATTTTACTCTGTGTCCTGTGTTTGTTGCGGGATATTATTGGAGCAAGCATTACGAAAGTCATTTGATTTCCTTTATGCTGTTTCATATTTTTAGAATGCTGCTATTAAAAAGGTGGGAAAGAGTCAAAGATCAGTTTAATGTAGACACAGTTAAGTACAGAGTCTTGCAAAAGTATTCACACCCCTTGGTGTTCCTTTCTATTTTGTTGCATTACAACTTGTAATTTTAATGGATTTTTATTTGGATTTTTTGTAATGGACCAAAACAAAAGCGTCAAAATTTGTGAAGTGAAATGAAAACACTTTTTTTTTCTTTTTTTTTTAATTAAAAAAGCTGTAGATTTAAGCCACTAAATAAAGCCTGGGGCACGTTCAATCTGAAAATGGTGTGCCCGTCTTGCTACAGTTTCCAGGTTGAACAACATGTTTGCTTGAAACGGTGTGAAATGGAGTGCAACAGGGCAGGCTTTCAGGTATGTTTTTTTTTGGTTTGGTGGGTGTGTCAGAGGTGTATCAAAACAGCAGTGATGTGCATATAAACCAAATGTTGGTAGATCTTTTCATACCGTCATACAATCTTTGTTTTCATTTCACACTTGCTTCAGCAATGTAAACATAAGTTCTCCCATGCCAAAAAAGCCCATTTGAATTGAATCGCATACAAACCCACTGTATCGGAGGCAGTGTGCCTGTGTAATACATCAGTGTTCAATGCACCTCTGTTTCTGGTTAGATACTTGCTTTTGTTGGAGCTGAACGCAGCCCCGGTGCTAACATTTACCTTTAGAAGTCACATAATTAGCTAAATATAGTCACCGTGAAGAACAAAGAGCCCTCCAAACAGATCAGGGACAAAGTTCTGGAGAAGTTCAGATCAGGGTTGGGTTATAAAAACAGCCCACTGAGCACCATTAAATCCATTCTTACAAAATGAAAAAAATTTGTCACCACAGCAAACCTGCCAAGAGAGAGGCACCCACCAAAACTCACGGACCAGGCGAGAACTAAAGGACCAGGCAAGAAGGGTATTAAATCAAAGAGACAACAAATGGACCTAAAGATAACCCTGAAGAAACTGCAAAGCTCCACAGCGGAGATTGGAGTATCTGTCATTGGGACCACTAAGTCGAGCAGGGCTGGGCTTTATGGAAAGGTGGCCATGGCTCAAAAGAAAGATGTAAGACCGTGTTTGGAGTTCACCAGAAGGCACGTGAGCGACGCCTCAAACATACAGTAGAAGAAGGTATTCTGGTCATATGAGAGTAAAACAAAGCTTTACAGCCACTCTTCTATAAAGCTGAGCTCTGTGAAGTGTACAGCTTTATGTGGTCTGAATGACAGATACTCCAATCTCTGCTGTGGAGCTTTCCAACTCAATCATTGTTATCTTTAATCTGTTGTCTCTGCCTATTGTCCTCCTTGCCTGGTCCTTGAGTTCTGATGGGTGGCCTTCTCTTGGCCAGTTTGTTGTGGTGCCACTTTTTAATTTAACGGTGCTCAGTGGGATGTCATTTCACCTCACCAATCTTGACTATTTTGTTTTGGTCCAACACAAAAAAATCCAAATAAAACAGGTTGTAATGGAACAAAATATAAACGCCAAAGCTGTAGCCTATGTGGAATTAAGCTGGAAATATATATGACTGATCTGAACATCTTGAGCCTTGAGCAGATCCCATTACTCTCTCCGCCTACACAAAGCCTGTGGCCACAATATCCACTTGAATATTGACATGCATGATGCCATGCACCGCCAACACCAGGACCTTACATTCATATTGACTTTTTCCTTCTGCATCTCTTCACAGTATGAAAAACCATCTACCTACTTCCACATGCATTAATGCAGTGTGGCGGGCAGTATATCACAGAACTGAGCAGTAGGATTTCAATATCTTATAAATTCATCGGAGAAGTTTTACTTCTGTATTTGAATACCAATGTGATGCAACGACACCTCTGCTTGCCGACAGCATCACAAAGATCTTTAGTTCTTTCTTTGACTTAAAGAGTGGAAACACAGATCATCCTTAAAAAAATGTGACTACACAGTAGTAAGACACACTGGCTTTGTGGTGGTTTTGCCTCTTTCTTATTGTTATTTTTTGTGTCTCCATGTGGTCTTTTTAAGTCTCTTTCTGGTCGGTACCAAGGAGGTTAAAGAGACATATCCTTGGGGTACAACACATACGCATTAAAATCTGGTCTGCAGTTCCATAAGGCTCAGTAGCTGACTCACTATCACAGAAGGTGGGCATGATTGATTCGTTTCACTGAGGCATCTGCAGTCGGCCTTGGGTCCAAATATATTTTATAGGAAAAATAGAGATATGGGTGAAGACTACAATTGTGCAAATATTGAAAAGGTCCTTAATAAAAATCCATAAACAAATGCTTTATATGCTTTATTACCCAAAAACAAATCATCCCCTTATGTCTAGCACAGATGGACCTGCATTTGTATACCGCCTTTCTAGTCCTCCGACCGCTCTCTTTTTACCCTATGAGTCACATTCACCCGTTCACACACTGGTGCCGGAGGCTACCATACAAGGAGCCACCTGCTACTCAGTTTTTAAGACACTC